GGCGCGGTCCGGAATACAGGTTCCGATGGCGGGGGGGCGGGGGGGCGGGGGGGGGTTAGGTATTCCCGACGAGAGGAGATGACCGCAAAGCACAAGATCGAAAGGAGGCGCGCGCGTGTGGCGCCGCCCGGATGGGGCACGTACTTTGCCGGTGAAGCCCAACTGCCGGCCGTCGATGCACTCGTCGCGCAGGACCGCGTCGTCCTTGAAATCCATGCAAACCATGTCGATGGCCTGGAGACCGTACGCCGCGGCCACGGTGACGATGTTCGACCGGGCAAAGAGCATCTCCCGGCCGTGGGGCGTCCGAGTACAGCCGACATCGGCGCAGTAGTCTTCGGAGGCAAACTTTCCCGGGCCGGGCGGGGGAGAAGGGGAGGCAGAGGCATGTGAGCGAGGAGGAGGATATGGGGATGAAAATGCCGACAGGCGAGAGGGAGAGACAGGCGGCGAGCCAAGGCGGAGGTGGGCGGGGGAGAGAGAGAGGGAGAGAGAGGGAGAGAGAGAGACGGCTGGAAGGCATACAATCAGCGCATCGACACGCGGGTCGGCCGCAGCGATGGACTGCAGGTTGAGCAGGCCCTTGGCGGATTCAATGGCAGCCAGGATGCGCACGCGATTTTTCCTGTGGAAGCAGTACAGGGCGGTGCATGGAGAATGGTGTCAGACGGGCGCGGATCCAGGACCGGGGCGGGGGGAGGGGGGGGGGACGACATAGAGGTGGGGAGAGAAAGCCGGAGAGGGGGAGGGAGGGCGTACGTGGCGTCGCTGGCAATCAGGTCGATGCAGCGCGAGACAAAGTGGATGTCCTGCGCGGTTTCGACCTTTGGCACGACCAGCGCGTCCAGGCGATTGGAGCGCAGCACGACATTCAGGTCGTCCAGCTCGAGCCCCGAGCCGACGGCATTGATGCGGACGGCGCGCTCAGCATGGCCAGCCCCGAGCTCGATGGTCTCCAGCGCGGAGTACACCATCTCCCGGGCGAGGCTCTTCCGCTCGAAGACCACCCCATCCTCCAGATCGAAGACAATGCTGTCGGCTGCCAGCGAGGAGACCTTGCTGAGCTTGCGCTCATCGGCCCCGGGGACTGGGAGAGGAAGGGGATATGGAGAGAGAGAGAGAGAGAGAGAGAGAGAGAGAGAGGGGGGGGGGGTGAGTAAATGCACAGGCAGGAGCGGGGTCGGATGGCATCCGGGGCGGGGAGAGAAAGAGAGAAGGAGAGATGCGGGCGGCATCATCCAAAGGGGGGAAGAAGGGCAGACGCACCGCTGAACAGAGCGCGCCGGGTCCGCTCCGGGCTCTTGGTGCCCATGTACCCGTGAACATTGGCCAGGTAGGACGTCATGTTGCCGCTGTATCGCATGGGCCCCGGGGGG